TTCTTCGGCTACTGAGGGTGCTGGTGCCGCGGGTCCCGGAGGTGCTCGTACTGGGAGTACTGGAGCTGCTGGGCCTACGGGTACGACTGGAGCTGGAGCTGCTGAGGGTGTTGACGCTGAGGCTACTGCTGTCGGTCCTGGAGGCGGTCCTGCTGGGGGTGCTACTGGTGCTGCTGGAGGTACTGGAGCTGGAGGTGCTGCTGGCGCTGGTGCTGCCGCTGGGGGTACTGGTGCTGTCCCTGCTGTGTCTGGAGTCGCCGTGCGGCCTCGGCCGTACTTCGTTCCGCTCCTTCAGCAGGTTCTTGGTCTCCCGCCTTCTACTGGTCCTCCTCCTCCCTTAGAGTGTCCACAGCCTGTCCTGTCATTGTTACAGTTACAGCCGGCCTCCCCACTGCCCGCTCCTTCTCCCTACACTGGTCCTACTGGAGGTCTTGCTGAGCGTCGTGAGCCTGCGTCGCGTCCTGCGTCGCCTGTCCGTATTGCTCGCGCTAGTGGTCGTGGTTCGCGTCAGCGTCCTCCTCCTGTCCCTGGCACGCACCGGATGTCTCTGCGTCCGTCCACTGCTCCTATGCGTGCCCCTTTGCCTTCTCCTCCTGAGTCCTCTCTTCCTGCTCTTCCCGACCCGGAGTCGGACTCTCTTCGTGCTGCCAGTCCTACTGTCACGCGTCTCCTTGCTACTGTCGTCACTGACCCTTCCTTTGCGTCCACTGCTGCGTCTGCCCTAGTTGCTGAGCTCGTCGTCTTTGCTGCTCGCTGTCGTCTAGACTACGCTGCTTGTCTTGTCGCTGAGTCTGAGTCTGTCTGTCCTCCGTCCGTCGGGGGTGAGTGTGCCCTTGGCACGGACGTCCTTGAGGACAGGCAGGAGGAGTTCCAGTGTTTGGCTGCTGCTTCACCTCATCTCGTGTCCGTACTGCTTACCCCTGAGGGAGACCCGGATGCACTTGACATCCCGACTCCGCGCTCTTACGCGGAGGCGATAGAGGGTCCCTACTCCTCTCAGTGGCAGGCAGCTATGGACACAGAGATGGCTTCCTGGAAGTCCACAGGCACCTACGTTGACGAGGTTCCCCCGCCTGGGGCGAACATCGTCAGTGGCATGTGGATTTTCAGGGTGAAGCGGCCGCCGGGTTCTCCGCCTGTCTTCAAGGCGCGTTACGTGGCTCGTGGCTTCAGTCAGCGGCAGGGAGTTGACTACTTTCAGACCTTCTCTCCCACCCCGAAGATGACCACTCTTCGGGTATTGCTGCACATAGCCGCTCACCGTGACTACGAGCTTCACTCTCTTGACTTCAGCACTGCTTTCTTGCAGGGCAGCCTGCACGAGGAGATCTGGCTGCGTCGCCCACCTGGCTTCACTGGGTCTTTTCCTCCTGGCACCCAGTGGAGCCTCCGGCGGCCAGTCTACGGTCTCCGCCAGGCACCGCGTGAGTGGCACGACACACTGAGGACTACACTTGCGGCTCTTGGGTTTGCTCCCTCTACTGCCGACCCGTCGCTGTTTCTGCGCACCGACACTTCTTTGCCGCCGTTCTACATCCTCGTGTACGTCGACGACCTGGTCTTTGCCACAGCTGACACTGCTGGACTCGCCCACGTGAAGTCTGAGCTGCAGAAGAGACACACGTGCACAGACCTGGGTGAACTGCGCAGCTACCTTGGCTTGCAGATCACCCGGGACAGAGCACGCCGCACCATTACCCTGACTCAGTCACACATGGTGCAGCAGGTCCTTCAGCGCTTCGGCTTCACGTACTCCTCGCCTCAGGCCACTCCTCTGCCTACTCGCCACTCGCTCTCAGCTCTGCCTTCGGATGAGTCCGTAGAGTCGAGTGGCCCGTACCCAGAGCTTGTTGGCTGCCTCATGTACCTGATGACCTGCACACGACCTGACCTTGCATACCCTCTTAGCATTCTCGCACGCTATGTTGCTCCTGGGAGACACAGACCGGAGCACATGGCTGCAGCAAAGAGGGTGTTGCGCTACTTGTGCAGTACGTCGGGCATGGGGCTTGTGCTTGGAGGGCAGAGTCCAGTGGTCCTCACTGGGCACGCAGACGCTTCTTGGGCTGACGACCAGGCTACGCAGCGGTCGTCACAGGGTTACACCTTCAGCCTTGGTTCCGGCTCTGTTTCGTGGCGGGCTACCCGCTCGTCTTCTGTTCTCGGCTCCAGTTGTGAGGCTGAGATCTACGCCGGGGCCATGGCTGCACAGGAGCTTCGCTGGCTCACCTACCTGCTCACTGACCTCGGAGAGCCGCCTCGTTCTCCTCCAGTGCTGTACGTAGACAACAAGGCCATGCTGGCCTTGTGTCGAGAGCAGAGACTGGAGCACAGAACGAAGCACATTGCTCTCCGCTACTTCCTTGCTCGTGAGCTACAGCAGCGTGGTCAGCTGCGGCTTGCGTACGTGGCCTCTCAGGCCAACACTGCTGATATCTTCACCAAGGCACTTGCGCCTTGTGATCATCAGCGTTTCTGTACTCAGCTGGGCCTTGTGCCTACCTTGCCTCACTTGCTCACCCCTTGACCTTGTTTGTACTGTTGCATATATATATACACCTGCTCTTGCTTGTCTAGCCTTATATATATATGTAACCCTGCATGTGAACTGGCCTTGTGGCCTTGAACTTGTGCTCGGAATGTGTGGTGACTTTGTGATCCACCCTGAGCTTGCTTTGCTTTGCTTGACTGGTCTTGTGACCCCTTGTTCTCCCCCACTTTGCCTACGGGGGTGTGTCAGATTTATATGACAGAGCTACTGTAGGCTATAGTGGGGTAGCACATATGGGGTACAGTTTTCTAGGGTTTGCATTTGTACCCAACTTTCCCTTAGTCATTTCATTCCTCGTTTCTTCTCAAAGGTATGACATATTGTTGGATGGCCAGGTATTGCGTGCTCAGGCTGATTACAAATTTACTTCTCAGACTGGGGTTCATGGGATGACATGGCATGGTTTGATTTTTTTTTTTTTTTTTTTTACTGTCATTTTAGGCCATGAATTGTTTGAATCTTGGTTAAATGGGTTGTTGTGCAAGGATACATATGTGTTGATTGCATGGTCTCCCATGCAGAGTAAATGCAGTTCTAAACACCATCTTTTGTACGGGTGGACGAAGAAGCGATCTAGGATGAGTGTAATGGAGCCGCATAAAATAGAGAAGAAACATTGGAAAACCAAAATGCAAATGGGCATCTTTCAATCTGGGATGGATCTGGGCTACAAATTGATAATGTGCACTGAATGTAAATCAGTCTTGCGAAGACTCCGAAGATATTTCAATGTTCCCCATCACCAGTGCACTGTACCAGACCAGTCCTTATGGAAATCGTAGTGTTTCCCTCCTTCCGCTAGGTCATATTCCTCCTGTATAGAAAAGGCAAGAGTTGAGCCAATTGCACACTACCATTTTGTACCACACGTTTTTAGGACGCGGTAAAAGTGGAGAATCGATCGCCTCAGGGTCGTTTTTTAGCACGGTTACCACGTCCTTACGGCGTGTTGCAATTACCGGTGCACTGCATCAGCTCGGGACGTTTGGAAGGCTCCAGGCAGGCGGGAGGCCAAACACGGGCAACGATTCGGGAAAGAAAGGTTTCAAGATAATGATTCAAAGAGTCATTTTCCAAGGTTATGTTAGGACATCATATTTGCTTGCGCGTTTTCTGTAAACATTTTATGGCCTCTTGCATTCCTGGAGCCTTCCTGAACCCGTGCCACGAGCCGAGCCGATGCAGTGTCCGCGAATTGCAACACGCCGTTAGCCATACTGTACCTCACCTCACTCATGCGTGATGCACAGGTTAGTGGTAAGCTCATTGTTCAGAGCTTGTCGGCAGCATCCTTCCACCCACCTCCTAACGGGGTGGTGCCTTAACCCCACCACAAGAATCCTGTCCAGCTGGCAGAATGATGCCCGGAAATCAAGGCATTCTCTCCTCGAATCAGTGCTTGAGCTTATCTCAAGGCATCCCTGGTCAGAAGCAACTAGCCGAGTCAAGTTAGCAGGCATGCGGCATTCATCATCCCATCCCACTAGACCACGGGTTAGGTGCCCGAATGAAACCGAGAAGCACTGACAACGGAACGTCGGACTCGGAAGGAAATGCGGCGGGTCACGACAGAGAGCTCAGCTTGCGTCCGTGCCGCGACAGAGCCCGCCCCAGTTGTTCGCAACTGTAAAATCATTCCCAGACGCACAAGCTATCCAGCTGACTTGCCGCCTTTTCTTCGTCCCTCCATCTTGTTGGCACACGTGGCAAGGCATGGCACAAACAAATGGACACTGATAAAGTCCATGGGTCTCCTACCCACGCGAAACCACAAGGCGTGCTGTAACCGCTTCATTGTGCTCAAAGGGTAATTCGTCATGCTCACGCTTCGCGTTTTGCTCGTAACATGCTGTAAATACCATTTCGATTAATTGCTCTAGACTTTGCGTGCATCATTTGCGAGAGCTTTGTCATCACTACCTGACATGGCTGGCTTGATAACTTTTTTTCATTCCTGACTTCCATTCCATGCGGCGACGTTGTCACTGCTACAAATACTCTCCTCAAGAGGAGCTACTACATTTACACAATTTGCTAATCGATAATACCTCATTTCTCATCTGTCACGTTCCCTTGTTCCCCTTGCCATGTCATGCAGAAAGCTCTCCAATCAGATCAAGGATGCGGCACGCATAACCGCTTCTGCTTTCGGCTCGTCTCGGAAATTGAACCGGGGTACAGCGCACAAGGACAGGAATTGGAAAGCAATGATGATGACAGACAAGCTACCGAGAACCGCCAAACACTCCATGAAGCCTACTGCCTGGCTGAATCTTTCAGGGAAAACATCCGGATCCTCTCTCAGCATCGTTCAGTGCCTTCAAAAAATTATTGCGTCCGGCTCAGCTCTCAGCAACTCCTCTTTTCAGCAGCACACACCGTTTCAACATCAGCACACTGCAGGATCGAAGACCGCCGAGACGGAGAGAATGTTGACGCCAATGGATTCTCAGATTGGAGCAGGGACAACTGTGACGAGTGAGCTCAGTATGAGGGGTGAAGCAGCAGCAGCAGCAGCAGGAGAAGCAGCAGCAGCAGGATAAGCAGCAGGAGAAGCCGCAGCAGCAGAAGCGCCAGCAACAATAACAGTGACACGGATGCCTGAAATTTCAAGCCCAGCAGCCACGGAACTTCATACCACATGCTTGTTCAAGCATCAATTGCGTCCCTTGGCACCGCAGCAACACTGTTCATCACCAGACTTCAGCCATTCAGCATCGCAGCAACTCCTCCCAGCCTCACATCACCTCCCCCCAGCCTCACAGCAATTCCCCCCAGCCTCACAGCAACTCCCCCCAGCCTGACAGCAACTCCCCCCAGCCCCACAGCAACTCTCCCCAGCCTCACAGCAATTCCCCCCAGCCTCACAGCAATTCCCCCCAGCCTCACAGCAACTCCCCCCAGCCTCACAGCAACTCCCCCCAGCCTCACAGCAATTCCCCCCAGCCTCACAGCAACTCCCCCCAGCCTCACAGCAACTCCCCCCAGCCTCACAGCAACTCCCCCCCGCCTCACAGCAATTCCCCCCAGCCTCACAGCAATTCCCCCTAGCCTCACAGCAACTCCCCCCAGCCTCACAGCAACTCCTCCCCGCCTCACAGCAATTCCCCCCAGCCTCACATCCTTCCGCCTCGCCCCACGTTCCATCCTCTGCAACTTCTCCTCACCCTCTAACTCCCACTCTCCCATACCCTCCCCTTCCTCCACTCCCTCTTCCTCAGAATGACCCCGATACTGGAACATTCTCTATGGTGGATTCACCAATGCAGGAGCTGCAGGAGATTGAAGCATTTCTCCTGGATGAATGCCCCCCCCGGCGTGAGGGTTGCTTTGTAAATGCCGACGTTGGGAACACCTTGCGAGCTGAAGTGGATCCGATGCCGCTTGACTATGTAAATCCTGTTGACGAGACTTGTGGGTTGGTCGATACAGGTGCGGGTGTGATTGGCTTGGGTCCTAGAGTACCAGTTGGTGAGGTTGCTGCTGCTGCTGCTGGTGCGGTTTTTTCTGCCTTTGCCGACCCATTATCTGGTGATGCTGGTGCAAGTTTCAACGGGGTTTTCAGGCGACTCGAAGGTGTCTCTCCTCCTCGCGCAGCTGTTCCGTGCTGCAATGCTGACATGTTTTTCTAAAGACTACTTTCTGATTTGGCTTCTACTACTGACGCTGATGCTGCTGCTGCTGCTGCTGCTGCTGCTGACGCTGTTGCTGCGATTGTTGCTGCTGATGCAGCCGATGCAGTTGCTACAAAAGATGCAGCTGCTGCACTGGCTGCTGATCACGCCATCACATCTTTCCTCATCGAGGCTGAGTTGAGGAGAATCAACGACGCCCTCCTTCACTCAACTCGTAGACCCAGCTCTTCACCCAAATTGTCACCTGAAGCTTTTTCTGAACCTTCAGCTTTGGAGGGCCAGATTTTCACTGACATGGCTCCAGGATTGTTACCCTCTTCCTCTCTCAATCCGGCAAGCACTGCGTGTTTCACTGCCCCATATTATTTCTCGCTGCAGGCAGCAGTGCCAGCAGATTTATTCTCTTCGTTTTCACCAGCGCTCCCACCAGCTGCTGCTGCTTCTGCTGTTGCGTATGGAGCTGCATCTGCAGCTGTTTCATCAGCTCCCGCTGCCACTGCTGTGTATCCGCCTAACTGCGCCTCTCTCCCCAGAAGCCAAATGAGAATGCGCCCCACTGAGACTGGTCTTATGAAGCCAGATGAGTTGTTTGAAGCGTTGTGCAATGGCCCGCTCTGTAGGGTGAGCTAGAAGGCGTGCCGCGACGTGGGTTTCCGAAAGAAAAGAGGATGTGGCTGTTTGGTTGGGTAATGGCCCGCTCTGCAGGGCGAGCTCGAAGGTATGCCACGGGAAGGGCATGAGACATCTCAAACCCTGGCCGTTTTTTCTGGCACCTAAATGCTCTGGCCGTCTGTAATGGATCTCTTTGTGGGGTTATTAGATGACACAGGGCATGAGGCTTTGCCGGATGGCTCTTAAGGTGCGTCCATGTTGATTTTACTCTTTGTACAGTTCTGTCAACTCACATGCCGCTCGAAATAACACGACTCTTTGTTTGATTACACATTTCAGCGTGTGCTATTCAGTATTCACATAAATCTTCTGTGTCTTTTTTTATTGCGACCAGAGTTTTACAAAAGTATTCACAACATCAAAGCAAAGAGATAAACCAGCAAATATAGCGATTCAAAAAAAATGGCAATGCAAGATACACTATAATAGCCACAATGGAACAGGCGAATCAGGGATGTCCCAATGTTCAACACCACGGTTGTACCGTTACCAGATCAGTCCTTATGGGAATCAAGGCAGTCCCCTCCATCCACTTCATCATGCATAACCGTACCGTGGGTTATCGGCTTAGAGTTGAGCCAACCTCATGTCCGTACCGTACGATTGCCATGCTTTTGCCTACAGCACACGCATAGGGGTGTAAGGCGTGTCTTGCGCGCGTCACAGGCGTGCTTGCCTTGTGCAGTTTCCCTGCCGATGGCAGAGAAATGCGTGCTTTGCGTGCTTGCAGATCGTCTTCGATTAGTCCAGCATGCCGAGTGATCCCCGAGCCTCCCCCACTGGATGCCTTAGGGAATCGCGGCGTTTGCCACGTGAGCGCAATGTGGTAAGCGTTTCGGACTCGCTCATCTTTCGGGGTTTTCCTCGTGTGCCTCCTGATTCTCTGGCAAGCCGCAGGGAGGTGGATTAGCGCAACCAGCCCGACATTTTACGGTGTGAGGGCCAAGAGGAGAACCTCATGCTTCAGTCGCGGCCCTTTTTTTTTTTTTTTTCCGCCCGGAGCACTGACCGACCCTTCTCACAATTTCCCCCAACAGTGTAAGTAATCCCTAGGTGGGCCCTTAGCATCAGTACAGTAGCAACTCGATGAGGGGATATGACCTGCTGTCAGCAAGCTTACGAGGTGCCGCACTGTAGTAGTGTACAGTACAATGCCGATTCGATTCAATCGGGTCAAGTAAAGTAGCAACCCTATAGGACCATCAGCGACAGCAGATGCCCGGAAAGCTGCTGCGCTGCCGCGGTAAACATTGTCGCGAGGTGAGAACTGAGATAGTACCGCCTCCCTTCCCAAATTCGTACTAGATACACCCGCGATTGCCTCCGATCTAGGTATACTCCGACACAGTCATGCACAGCCGCAAATCCAGCCTGGATGACGAGCCGCCTTCTCTTGCTACTAGGGTGCGGACTGCTATACCATGCCTGCTCGTCGGCTTCGGAAAGCACATCAGCTCGGTTCGGCTGATGCAGCAGGCTCGGACGAATGCATCTAGCTTGGAACAACGGTCACGCACACCGCGGCTCGGGAATGCGGTCCCTCTGTAGTGCTGCTTCCGCTTCCGCAATTTGGACGTCAAACCGGCTTTGTCTGGCGACGCCGCGTCGCAGCCGAACCGCGCGGCGATGGTGCTGCTGTCATGGCACCCCGAGAATCGCGATCATCGCTCCGAGCATAAATGAAAGCCGTTCAATCGGACTGAATTAACCTTCTTTTTTTACCAGCCAGTCACGTCGAGGTTCAATTCAGCCCAGCAGCAGCAGCAGCAGCGAGCCTGGTTTCTAAAGCCAGTCTCCAGTTTCCGCCTGCCCTCTTTTGAAGCCGACCGCCTCGGAACCATAGGCTGCTTCGCCGTTTTTTTCTGCTCTCTGGGCAATCGTCCTCGTCACCATGGCTCCTTCCGTGATCAACGCCGGGAATGGCGGCCGGATCCACTCTGGCAGTGGCGGTGCATCCTTGAGCAGCAAGACGAATCGCCATGGCTTCAGGAGCATGATCAATGCTGCTGCTGTCTTGATGGTGATGTTGCTGACGGCGTCGGATCTGCCGCCGAGTGTGCTCGCCGAGAATAAGCAGCTTCCCTGCACGTATTCGAATATCAAGGGGTACACCTCGTCCGTGCGTCCTTTTAAGGGGTGAGTATCTGCTGCTTATAACGGGTACAGATTGTATCAAAGCCTCCTCTAAGCGTGCATGTACCCTATCACATAAGCTGCTTCCCTGCACCCACTCCAACATCACGGGGTGCACCTCGTCCGTGCGTCCGTTCAAGGGGTGAGTGATTTGCGCTTGTAGTGAATGTTGCTTGCAACGAGTCGTGCTTGATTTGCTGCTGAGTGTGTCTGCACGATATCACATAAGCTGCTTACCTGCACCTACTCCAACATCACTCACCCCTTAAACATCGTCCGTGCGTCCGTTTAAGGGGTGAGTGATTGGTGCTTGTATCGAATCCGCCTCTAAGCGTGCGTGCATGCTATCACTGTCACATAAGCTGCTTCCCTGCACCCACTCCAACATCACGGGGTGCACCTCGTCCGTGCGCCCTTTCAAGGGGTGAGTGCTTGATTGATGCTTCCAACACTCCTTCTCTTCCCCCCTCCTCATCCTCCCCTCAACCCCCTCCCCCTCCCCACCTCCCCCCCTCCCCACCTCCTTTGTGCCTCCCGTTCCCCCCGTGCATCTTTCTGCAGCTTGCGCCTGAACTGGAAGGTGGTGGGCAGCACTGTGAAGTTTGACCTGCGCGCATCAGGCCCCGCCAGCAAGGGCTGGTTTAGCGTTGGCTTTTCCACCCCCTCACGCCCCCCATGTCACCCCCATGCCAGCTTGCGGCTGAACTGGAAGGTGGTGGGGAGCACGGTGAAGTTTGACCTGCGCGCCGATCTTCAGGCTGCACCTGAACTAGAAGGTGGTGGGCGGAACAGTGGAGTTTGACCTGCGCGCATCAGGCCCCGCCAGCAAGGGTTGGTTTAGCGTCGGCTTTTCCACCCCCCCAACCCCCCACAACCTAACTTCGCCCCATTCCCCGTGCCCTCAGCCTTTGACTGAACTGGAAGGTGGTGGGAAGCTCGGTGAAGTTTGACCTGCGTGCGACTGGCCCCGCCAGCAAGGGCTGGTTCAGCGTCGGCTTTTCCACCGATGGGGAGATGACAGGCGATGCCATCACAGTCACTTCCAGCTCTGCCACGTCAGCCACGATCCACGCGCTCACGGGCGAGAGCGGCGCCAGCGTGGCGGAGAGCACTGATTGGACGCCGGCCAAACTGGAGATTAAGAGGAAGGGTGGTGGTGCTTCTCTCAAGTGAGTTATGGCCGGCTGTGCCCCTGTGCGAACCTCTGTGTGCCCCTGTGCGACCCTCTGTGCCCTTGTGCGACCCTCTGTGCCCCTGTGCGAACCTCTGTACCCCTGTGCGTCCCTCTGTGCCCCTGTGCGATTCTCTGGGCCTCTGAACCACTGTGTGCTCCTGTGTCGCGCACTGTGGCCCTGAAAAGCCCAGCCCCGACAATCACGGCGTCACTCGGTGTGGTGCGGCGTGGTGCGGTGTGGTGCAGTGTGTAGCTCCTGTGAGGCACTTGTGTGGTAGAAGCGTGTGTGAGACTTTTGCTCTCCAGCATTTGTCGCAGTGTCTTTGCAAGGCCCCCTTTTTTACGTGATAAAGAGGGGGGAAGGGGCGGAGAGGAGGTGCTCACTTTCTTGCTCATGTCATCTTTCGTGCTCTGCTGGCAGGTTCGAGCGCTCTGCGAGCAATGGCAGCCCCGTGCCTTTCAATCTCAATGTAACTTCTGGGTCGATTTGATAGTTGACTTCCTTTTCCTGTTGTCACCTTTCGTGCTCTGCTGGCAGGTTTGAGCGCTCTGCGAGCGACGGCAGCCCTGTGGTTTTTAACCCCAAGGGCAAGAACATTCTCATGTTTGCATACAAGGACTCGGCGTTTGACACTAACAACCAGCATGATGAGGAGTAAGTCGCCGTCTGGGCCTCTACACCTGCTTAATCCATCACTCTCGCGCACTATGGTTTGAGCGAAGTGCGAATGATGGCTAACAGCCCCTGGGCAAGAACAACCCAAGGGCAAACACATTCTCATGTTTGCTTACAAGGACACGGCGGTTGACACCAACATGCACCACGATGAGGAGTAAGCCATCGGCGTGTCACTCCTCGCCAGCACACTCCTCGCCTGCACACTCCTCGCCAGCACACTCCTCGCCAGCACACTCCTCGCCAGCACACTCCTCGCCAGCACACTCCTCGCCAGCACACTCCTCGCCTGCACACTCCTCGCCAGCACAGCGCACTCCTCGCCAGCACAGCACACTCCTCGCCAGCACAATCACTATCTGTGCCTCCACTTGCTCGCTAGCTCCATTGCTTTTGAGAATTCTCACCAGCAATCCAGCATCGTGTTACTCCTCTCCTCCCCACCAGCACAATCACTATATGTGCTTCCTTTTCGCTTGCTCGCCAGTTCCATCTCCTTTTCGCTTGCTCGCCAGTTCCATCTCCTTTTCGCTTGCTCGCCAGTTCCATCTCCTTTTCGCACTGCTGCACGCTGAACCCGAAACCCAGAATCCCCAATCTGATGTGCAACCCATCCCTTCCCTTTGTTGTCCGTGCGTGCAGTGCGCATGTCATCGTTAACATGGCTTTCAACCCCTGCAAGAGTTCGCTCGTTTTCCTCTTGAATTGACTCACACTCCCTCACTACGGTTCTCATCCCTCCCCCCTCCTCCTCCCCCCCCCATCTGTTGCTTTCTGTACTTGCAGTGCGCATGTGATCGTCAACATGGCTTGCAACCCCTGCAAGCGCCCGTTCGGTTTCCTCTTCTGTCGGGGTTGACCCCTGCGGTGGTGGTTCATTTTTCAGCTCCAATCCAGGCCTGCTTCATGGGTTTCTTTTCGTGGCATGGGTGTAATGCCATGAGTGAAGATGGTTCCGAGTTTCAGGGTGATGCTTTCAAGAGGTGGAAACTGGTACAGGGTGGGTTCAGTCAGTGGTGGGATTTGTTGTTCTCCGCTTCTTTATTAAAAGGTCTTATGAATAGTGCCTTTTGAAGAGGTCTTTTGAAGAGTGGCTTTTGTGTTGGAAACAATCGGTCTTAAGCGCCTCTGTCGTGTCGAAACACCAAGACACAAGCGAAGCAAAGCATATCGAGGCACCAGCGAGTCAACCCTCGGAGGTTGAAGTAACTGCTGGAGGTTACGCGAAAGTCAAAGGTCAGCGACGATTGACCTGACAAGTACAGCGCGACAGCAAGGACACACAACTGACTCGCCACAGAGCAGTTGCCCGAGTCGTCACTGTATCGAACCGCAACAGCAACAGTAAAACAGTTATAACTGTATCCTTTCATATTCCTTGTACTCTTATATAATCTTGTATCTCTTTGTTTTAATTAATCGACTTTGCCCTCACATACTAGCGCAAGGTGGTTCAAATACCTTTTCATTAAAGCTTCCGCTATTACATCAGTCCTACCCAGAGTTCATCCCTGCAAAGATCCTAAGGGCCTTTTTCAGCCCAACATGGTATGAGAGCAGTCAGGGAGAATTCAACCTCTATTAAGATACCAACAACATCAACAGGCATGGCTACACAAAAGGAAAGGAGCCCCTCCAACGGCTCCCAGGGCACCACCCCTACTCCACCTCCTGCCTCTGGCCTACAGACAGAGGAGGGTACGGCAACAAGACCTATGGCAACATCCACCGAGACTCCTGCGAATCAACCTGCAGACCTCGACCAGAGCATGATGGAGAAATTCTTCTCCTTCATGTCTTTCTATGAGCAACACCAGCAATCGGCACCTGCGCAGTCACACAACAGCAACAACACGGGGCAACTCCCATGAGTCTCGACGGCTCATCATACGCACGAGGAAATCAACAGCAGCAGCCTACCTTTGCTCCGTACGAGCGCGGATCCATCAGCCTTATACCACACCCGCAGCCTTCACCTGGACAAGAAAGGTCACTGGACGCATTACAAGTTCAGTCGCAGTTCGCGCATGTTGTGAAGATGCAGACGTCAAGACCTTTCGATGGAAAGGATTTCTTCACCTGGTCGTTTGAATTCGAGTTAATGATGGAAGGCGCGCAGATACTTGGCTTCTTCGACGGGTCCCTGCCATACCCAACGAACGGCACACAGTATGAGAAGCAGCAGTACACCTATCAGTCGATGATGGCGTACACGATTCTACTGAGAAACATCACCCCGACTCAACAGCAGAATATACGGTCTTACCGGGGTCACGGTAACTCCGCGGAGCTCGCGTACAACCACTTGAAGAGCCTGTATCAAGCAACAGACATCGTAAACCAAAGTCGGTTAATGGCGCAACTGACAACGGTCGAAATGAAACCAGGCGAGAAAGGAATGGCGTATATCAGCCGATGTCGCGAGTTGCGCGACAAGCTTCTTCGATGCGGGGGGTCGATTTCTGAAGACGCCTTCGTGACAGTCATTATTGGCGGCCTCGGTCCCCAATGGCGCGCCACAAAGGCCATTCTCCGAGCCCACGGAAGAATCTCCGAAGCAGCGCTCTGCACCGAAATCCACGCTGAGCAGCAAGACATGGACATGCAAGAAGAACGACACAAGAAGAAGACATCAGCACCGGAATTTGCATTCCACACTCAGCGACACTACAACAACAACAAACAACAACAACCGAAGCACGTACCTCCGTTCTGCCACATCTGCAAGACGTCAGGGCACCCGCGCAAGCACTGCCTGAATCGACAACAGTCAACGCCTTCACAGCGGCAGCTTCGACCTTCAAGCAATCAAGTTGCCTCAACACAAGCAAATCCTACGACCCAGATTAAAGCCTCAACGACTTCAACAGGACAACCTGCACAAGGAGCAAGGAACATCGTCAGTTGCATGGCAAAATTGACCGATTCCTATATCACCGAGTCACCGCCACACTACTCACCGGAAGAACAACTCGACAACACCACACCTCGCCGCGAGTCACTTCAACCGAATCCAACGTACGCAGCCATCGCCCAGAGCGAACCATCCGGGAATGACACCTGGTTCTTGGACAGTTGCTGCGAACAACACCTGCGCACACGACGACAAGGAGTGGTTCAACTTCAGTCACGAGAAACAAACGAGATACTACAGATGTCAAAAGTTCTGATAGCAGAAGGACTTGGATATAACTTACTCAGCGTCAGCCAGCTGATGGCGAAGGGCATCCATCTCGAAGCAGACAGCACCACTCAAGAATTCAAGCTGTACCACGGGAGAGGAGGCCTTTACATCGGAAAGGCGGTCCGGAAAAATAATGTCTTCGTTCTTGATTTTGTTCCAGATCTCGGCACAGCAGACAGCGACGGCATCGTCACCTTTACTTCCTGGACCCACCCTCCAGACCTTGATCCATACTTCAGTCCCGGCGGCTTCTGGTATTCTCACACCATCCCTGAGGCAGAAAGAACAAGGGCATTAGCAACAATTCAACACTCGGCAGCAGCAGAGACAACATCGGCAGCAGCAGAAACCACATCGGCAGCAGCAGAGACAACATCGGCAGCAGCAGAAACCACATCAGCAGCAGCAGAGACATCAACGGCAGTAGCAGGAACGTCAACACCAATCGTTGGTCCTTCAACAGCACCGCTCCTCGTCGACGACACACCACCGACACCCGCGCAACAACTACACCCAGCACCACGAGAAGTTCATCAAAGCGCCAACTTCACCGCCAGCTTCTACTCCAACTCCGACCTGTACCGACGATCACCCGGACATCGCGCCGACGAAAGCACCTGGCACGCAAGGATGGGACACCCAAGCAACACAGTATTAAACAATACGATAAGAGCAGGAGTACTCAACAAGGACTCACTACTACTGACCGATGGAAGAGAACTTCAACGAGTACGTGGAACATGCTTCACCTGCCCTGAAGCTGACTTACCGCATCGACCGTTCGCGTCTCACCACACCCCAAGCGCACCAGCTTACGCACCACTCGAGAAGGTGTACAGCGACATCCTGTACAACCTCGAGCCGGGACAAAACGCGTG